AGAGACTTCGTTCGACCAGATGTGCGATCACGTGACTCTGGGTTCAAAGGTCTTATCTCTCCTGGCGTGGCGCCAATAAGTAGAGAAGGGGGGATTTTTTCGCCGTATTAGCTATTTTTCATTGATCGCTTCTCAACTTTTTTTTCTCCGCTGTGTAAAATTTTTGTTTCATTTATTGATGCACGTGTAAATTTTCGTTTCGTTTATTGAAAAATATTTTTTTATTTATGTACGCAAGAGAATTTCACTATGAAATTTCTCGATATAAATAGTGATATTATATACAATTAGAAGAAGGTGTCCGGAATGCATTTAGGTGGAATTGGATTGAACGGAGAGATGGTAATGGGGATACCATCGGCACATGGTGCAAGAAATAAATGTTGCTGGACAAGCATATTGTGTTTTTTGTAACTCACTGCTGAAGTATGGTGGGGAAGGATTCAAGGCTTTCACAAATCATTCTAAAACTGTGATGCACATAAAATATTCAAAGTGCATTAGACATTCAATGACTTTAAGTAATTATGCTAATTCAAAAAATACTGATGACTTACTGGAGACTGATGCTCGGCCATTGGATATAGTGACAAGAAAAGCACGCCAAGAGGTATTAATAACTTCGTTTATCGCCGAGAATTCTCTTTCTTTCAATGTAGCTCCCAATTTAATTGAACTCTGCAAACAGTTGAGCCGCGATCAGACGGCACTAAACTCGTTGGAAATGTCCAGGACTACTGCATGTTATAAGATGAAATATGGGCTCGCAAAAACTATTAAGGAAAATATCATTAAAACTTTAAAGGAGACTCCATTTTCTCTAAATTTGGATGAAAGTACTAGCAATGCTCAAGAAAGTATACTGGCAATATTGGTGCAGTTTTATGACAACAATCAAAATGAAGTTGTAGTTCATCATTTTGCATCTCTAAAGATGGAATCTTGCAATTCAGAAGCTGTCGTGGCGTGCAAGGGGGGTCGTCGCGGTGCGCAATGAACTGGAAGTTGATCTGTCAGCACTATCCTTATCTTTAGGCAGATGTTTTATTTTATCGGCTTATAATTGCTTAAAACTGTGTATTTATCTCATATACTCCGCCTTTGATATGATTTAAATCAAATCCCGTCATTATAAATATCATGAATACAAATAAATAGTTTTTTCTGGTTGCAATTTTCTGATTTCGGCTATGCAATAATGTATGCTTTACGATGCGTGTGTTGAAAGAAATGTTTAATAAAGTAAACAAATATAAATATTAAGCTTCTTTTTTTGTAAATTTTGATGCCCTTTAGATCATAATTGCTCATTATTTTATAAATTACAGTTTCATATTTTTAATTTTATAATTTCTGCATGCCATCTTACCAGATTTAAACTGATGATCTATAGTCCGGAAAAATCGATAATCCGGAATCCCCGAAGTCCCGACGAATCCGGATTAAAGACTTTTGACTGTATGATTTAATGGCTTCTAAAGAAACCTCATGTGAAAAATATGGCTCAAAAAATCCAATGACTGATTCAATTCACAAAAATCTCTTACTGAATATGAACAGAAGTTGGAAAACATATCAAGAGCACTTAAAAACATGTATTTCTGATGAGTTGCGTATAAAAGTCTCTACATTAGCAGAAAAGCAAACTGCTTCTACCTCTGCATGTGCAGTTCTCGAGGAAATTTCTTCAACTGTAAATGAGGAAAATAAAAGTCAACCTTCCTGCAATTATGAAGTTCACCACAAAAGAAAGACAAGCCCCACAAACATCAGAAAATAAAAAAAAGCAGCAGAAATTAGATAATTTTTTTTAATGAATTAATTCAGGTAATTTAAAATATTTACATAAAATGTAGTAGTTTATATGTTTGAAAATTTATGGTTATTAATTTTGCAAAAAAAGTAATTCATTGAACTTTTATAATTAGGTCATTCAATACTTCATAATTGTAATTTTTCATTTCTCTCCCCCCCTTCTCGAAACTCCAAAATGTCGGTAGTAAGTCTGTAAAAGTTTCAGGGGATTTTTTGGGGTCCCACAAACACCCCTGCTATAAGTAAATCTGCAAGCTCGGGTAACATGTAATAGTTATCTACAGTCACACAATAACCATTTTCAAGAAAGCGATGCAATAGGTGCATGACGACTTTTATAGAAAGTCCATAATTTGTATACAATTGATTGAAGACAGTACTATTTCATTTATAGACAATGAAGTCACAAATATACCCTGTTTCCGCCTCACAAAGCATAAAAAATTTGATTCCAAATTGTGCACGTTTGATAGGAATATATTATTTCCAAGATAACCTTCCTTTATAAGGCAGCAAGCTTTCATCAACTGATACATCACTTTCCAGTATGTAAAATTTACAAAATTTTTCCCTTAAATTTTCTGTCACATTATATAGCTTCCAAAGTTTTTGATTTGGAAAATCGTTTTTTCAGCTTCATTATTGAAAAAATGTAAATATCGAAAAAGCAAAATAAAATGATTTACGGGCATTACTTTTGAGTAAATTGGAGTATGCAAAATCCTTCGATGAGACCAGTACATAGCCTGATTTGGTTTACGGACAATACCTTGAAGAATTATTAGCTCAAAGAATAGCTTCGTTTCTCTGTCATTTGTAAGGATCCATTTTTTACTGCAGGAGCACCTTGATATATTTGGCCCGATTTGCTTTTCTTCTTGTTCTGCATAGTTGTTGTTCTTTGACAAGTAATTTCATTAGATTGAATCCAGAAACATTTCTAACATATCTAAAGGAGTGTAGTTTATGTTTACAGGAAAAGTTACACCTGGAATACCTGTAAAAGGGAACCGCAGGGTCCCTAATCGCCCAGAAGCAATTATTTCACACCAGTGTCTCGCATTTCCTATATCGTCATCATCGCTATCCGTTGATTCACTGCTACTTTCAATGTCACTCTCCTCAGTTTTACCTGCGTCACTAGTATCGATGCCTTCAAAATCTTCATCTTCTTTTGAAGAATCTAAATCATCTATATAACGTTTCAAAGAACTGAACACCATTTTACAACAAAAAGATTCCGCACACTTTGAACCAAAGAACTTCTAACCTCCTTTGAAATCTTCAGTAAAGTGCTACCATCTACTGAATTGAGCGCACATTAAATTTTCCCGAGATACAGTCGGGTTTGACAAAGAGATGAAGCTGAAATAAACGTCTCCTGATATATATTCGGGTGTAACAATACGATGCACTCAAAAAAAATTACCCCAAGTAATTCTCGGGCGTGACATTTTCGAACATATCTCGGGCATGGCAGTTAAAAGATTACAGAATATATAAACTAGTTGCAAGGTTTAACAGAGAGTGTTTGGCAGCATAAGCTGATTATTCTAGTTCAGATTTTCTGCTATTGCAACTTAGGTTGCCAGTAAAATTTTCTGTGGCTGATTTTTTTCAGAGGGGCAAAGGTTTGTACACTACATGTTGTACACTACATCTGCTTTACTTCAAACTTACATTAAAAGCTGTTTGTGTACTTGCAAGTTAACAGAATTTGTTTCTCTTAATGTTTTCAGTTTCTGTAACCATTAGGTCAGTGTGTTAATAAATAGTTTTATTTTAGATTTTAACTTGTGAGATTATTTAACTAAAAAAATTACACAGGACAGAAAGTCATCTGACAGTCTTCTACAGTTATTCAGTATCATTGGTACTAAAGTTGTTTAGTGTAATATAAAACGAGCAAAGGCAATTTCAGCAATTTGCAGTATTAGAAAATGTGCTAAATGTTTGCCAGTTGAATTCTGTTGATATTGCAGGTATGAAAGGATAACTATTTTATTAAAAAATGTGGTATAAAGATTGCTTTTAAAAGAATTAACTCTTGAACTGTCTGTAGTTTTACTGAAAATCAGTATAATTTCTAAAAACAACTGCAAGGAAATTGTTGTATCTGTAATTTTAATATACTGTGCATAATGATAGAGCAGTGGCTAAAAACTTTGATAATTGCTAAAGGGCTAATATTTAAACCTGTTTTATTTAGTGTTGATACAGATATATATTTAAAGACATTGTAATTGTCTTTTAAGTTTGTTGATTTTCTTTTATGACCTGAGTCTTTACTTTTGAAAGAGTTTGTTAAAAATTCACAATTTCTTTGATACATCCTTTATTCTTCATTTCCTCTTAAAAGCAGTGTTTGGAAGCTTTTATCTTGTGAATACTTCTTATTTCAATAATACTTCTTGTAAAAATTATCCCATGATTTTCTCACCTTTTTTGTTTTTTGTTAAAGAATGGAAATATTTCTTTTTGGTAAGAGCAGGCTTTGAAAAAAATTACATTTGTCTTTTAAAAAAACAGATGATGTTTAGAAGTTCAGAATACGTTATTGATAAATAATTCTTTCAAAATGTTTTTTAGATCTTTGTTTTTAATAAAAATATTAAAAATGTAGAAACATCCTTCAGTATTTTACTCATGAAAACTACAGATGCTGTAAATATATTATGTATCAATTTTTTTAAATGTTACTGAGGAAAATGTCGATTCATTTAAACTGTGTAGAAATCTAAAGCACACTTTATTAATTTTGCATGTACAATATTAAGACAATGGAAAATATATGCTGCTAATTTGCTTGTCTTAAAAGAAATGATATTATGGTTTCATTTAAATCAGTTAAAAATCCTGATTAATCTCTGTGTGTTATGTACAGAGAAATGAAGCCAGACAGAGTTTATGCTCAGTTTTCAATGGTAAGTGAAATGTTAGGCATATGTTGTTATTTATAAAACTAGGCTTACTATAGTATATACTGTTAAGCTTTGTCATTACAAACTTACTAATCGTGAAAAAGTACAGTTTTATTTTACTGTAATAATAAATTAATATATTCTCTTGAATGAGTTTTCAACTGTAGCATGTGATGTTTGCGAAAGTGTATATTTTTTTGTGTATATTGATAAAGCTACAGGACAGTAGCGTGAGTTTTAATAAAACTTCATTTCTTTTTGTAGGTCCTTTATCATGCAAAGCTTTGTGCAGTTTGTTGGGGTTCCCAGAACCTATTGTAAAAATGGCTTTACAGCACTTAATGTCTTTAGGATTAGTTTTTCAAGACAATTATTCAATGTTTTGCACTGTGGTCAATAAAAGCAATGCGATACCTCAAGATGACATTGTATTGCGCATCATAAATTATTTGAAGAGAGCTCAAACTGCCATACATACAAAGGATCTGGTTAAAGGAGTTGGACTCAATAACAAGAAAGAAATAAACCCTCTGTTATACAAATTACAGCAGAAAGGAGTTGTTACCAAAGTTAATGAGTCACCTCCAATGTGGCAACTTGGTGAACAGTTGGTGAATAACATTGGTGATAAAACAGTGAAACAGACTGAAATTAATTACAAACGAGAAGATCAGACTGTTGTGCATAATGCTTTGCCAAATGGTGTTCCCAAAGAAATTGAATATACAAAGCCTTTGACTCCATTAGGTGGCAGGCAAAGATACAAAAATGGAGTAAAAGGCTTATTGGCAAATAATATGGCATCATATGAAGAGTCGAGTTCTAACATTGAATCACCCACCGAAGTGAACGCGAATAACGCGTACGCTGAGCCAAACAGGTCTCACCTTAAGAATGGAAATGAAATTCCTGAAAATTTAATGAAGAAAAATTTTCAGGAGGCAGCTGTTATTGAAAACTCTTCTTCACTGCCATTATCTCCAGATCTGATTAATTTGATGAGCTCCTTGCAGGCTCCAAATATGAATAAAAACATCGAATCATCATGCAAGATTGCATCAAATTCATCAAAGACATCTGCTGATTCTGAAAGTCAGCATGGTAGTGGGCGTTCCATGAACTCACGAAATGGGAGGCAAAGCAACGAATCTTCTGGAAATTCTTCCCGAAAAGCAGCAGCTGCTGCTGCCGCTAAAGCTGCTGCTGGTAAATTACCAGAACCAAACTCAGCTGCTCATTATGTAAATGACGTCCTCAACAGTGATAGCTTTGCCGCACTAATGAAAAATCCAGTCAGTGCTCTCTATGAATATGGACAAAGGAACCATATTGATACCAAGGTAGAAATTGTGTTATCTGAAGGACCTCCTCATAATCCAAGGTTAGTGTGTGTTTTAAAAATATACTTGTGATTAAAGAAGTACATTGAATATATTTAAAAGTTATAAAGTTTAACATAACAGTTTTTAAAGTTTAACAGGACATCATAGTACACCCAAAATGAAATAAATTTAATAAAAGTATAAATTGTACGAATTTAGTTAAAATGTAAGGAACTGTTTTGAGAATTGTTATAGTGACAATTTTCAAATTCGAGGTCTCCTTCTTCATAGAGTTCGAATTATTATTTTCAAGATGAAATATTTATGTATAGATGCTAAGAATAAATGGCAAAACTTGGATAAAATAAGAGTGAAATTTCAAAAATTAAAGTACTTGGGGATAATCTAAAAGTAAGAAAATATTGGAAAGAAAATCAGAAAACAAATTATAACAGAAAACTTTGAAATGTTAAAAAAACTTGGTTAAAAAGTTTATTATTAACGTAGCTGGTTAAGAACCAAAAGTAAGCTGTTTATTTTTCAGTTATACTTTCTTGTTAAAGTTATCACTATGGTTATATGTCAAAATAGTCAAACGTAATTGTCAAATTTATACTCTGTAATATTTGAAGTCATCAAAAATAAGTCTTAATAATAGCTGCTTTAGTAAGGAAATATTTTTTAACATAAGGAGTTAATTGAAAAATGCTGAACGTAAATGCATGAAACAGATTTAGTACTGCCTTAATTTTTATTATATTGTAATGTTAAGTTATTAATAGTGTAATTCATAAAATAGGGAACTATATCAGTTTCCATCTGCTGGCTATTTAAGTGTTCTTGATGCAGAAACTTTTGTTTGTGTATTCTGTGTATTGAAAAAAATTCGAAGTTAAGATTTCTGCATAGCATTCACTAATGAAGTAGATTTTAAGTATAAAACTGTCTTAAGGTCTTGTTTTTATGAAAATGCTTCATAATAATCATTCAGTACACAATAAAAATGTTTTATTGTATACGAGTATGTACAAAATAAGGAAATATTTTTAAAGTTGTATTCATATCTTGTTATGTATATGAAAAGCAAGAGTTTAAAATTATTTTACTAACTTTTTTGTATTATCAGTTAGACACATTCATATCTATTCTATAATATGTGTATGATCATAATACGAAAAATTTAACAGCAGAACAACATGGTGAATTAAGAATTAACATTCATGTATGAAAGGTTTTTAAGAGGATTAAGTGTTCTTTACTAATTCTCCTGTTCAGTTTTTCTGAAAACATTTTCATTTTAGTTTTTTTCCAGTTTGCCAGATTTAGAATTTGAAACAAACTGCCTAAATTTCTGTTTCGGCTGATTTATTTTTGCTTCCATATTTTGTAGAAGTTTGTTAACAAGCTGCTCTTGAAATTATTTAGGTATTTGTTGACTTTAATCTGTGATTGGAAGGACAAAATGAAAATATTCCATTATAACATTCTGTAAGGATTTTTTTGGGGGGAGGAGAGGAGGTGTCTAATTGCTTTTACTATAATTGTAATCTTATTTTCTTTTTGTTGCTTATTTATGGATTTAAAAATTCTTAGATACATTTTGGTTGATAACATTTCATGAACATAATAAAAGATGTTTTGCATTGATTTAATACAGTGTTCAACTATGATTTGAGATATTGCAAATAATTCAATCATAATAAAAGATGTTTTGCATTGATTTAATACAGTGTTCAACTATGATGTGAGATATTACAAATCCATCAGATTCATTAATATTGCTAGCCAGCGGCTGGAAATTACAGAACCTTAGTAATTGCATCCTGAATTTAATTTCTGATATTGTTGATTTGGTTGCATGGAAATTTTCATGATTTTCTTATTGTGTAGTATGATTTTGAGCCAGTTTCCCTGAAATATGACAATAATTTAATGCACACTTCATTATTCTTGATAAAACACTTTTGATATAGATACAGTTAAAAGATTACAGGTGAAAACATGACAAAGAAAACAACATTAGTTGAAAACGTACAAAATATGATTGGAAAAAAGAACTCTAGGTGAAAACATCATGGTAGAAAATATCATCATCGAAAATAAAGCAGTTCTAAAGCATCACACTTTTAAAACATCTTCATAGAAAATATTGTGGCAAAAAATAACAAACCATTACAGACATTAAAAATTCTAAATGTATACTCGTATAATGATTTGCGAGTATGAGAAGGAATGAGGACATTTTTATGTCAGTGCTTGATATTTTTTAATTAAATAGTAAATTTTTACTAAGAAAGTAAAACATTAAAAAACTAAAAATGAGCAGAAAATGAGTAATACTTATAGCAGTTTTTAAATTTATGTGCTTAACTATTAAAGGTCATCATTTAAAAATCTGTATTTGTAGTTTTACATGAAAAATATAATCTAAAATGATTAGGGAAAGAAATCGGTAACTACATGAGGTTACCTATTAAATAATTTAACTTATTATCAAATTATTTTTTCATTCTTATTAATCTGATTTTAATTAAAATTAAGTCTTTTATTTCAGTTTATTTGCCTTTTAAAGTGTCGTTAATATTTTCGTGTACAGTGTGCAGTTAATTGTTGACATATTGATTCATTAGTTGTGATGAAACATATTGGGGGGGATAGGTACAAATTATTTCAGTATAAGATTTTGATTTGCAGTGATTATTGCAAAGCACACTATGGCTATCTGCCTAAGGGCCGTTAAGGGATACCATTATGGAGGATTTTCTCAAGAACTGGCTCATATTAATGTTATACATCAGAAATACCACAAAAATCTCATGCATTCAGGCCACATCTGCTGGGTTGAAGTATCAGTGTTCAACATCATTACAATCTGACCACTTGTGTTTGTTTCAGCAGTTGAATATTAATGAAAATTTGCATTTTCATCCATCATAGGGTAAAATAAAATTTAAAATTGTACCTAGAAAATTTAAATACAGATATTTTTCAGAAATAATACATAATTGTGAACCCTTGTGATGTTTGTCTTCCTAAGACAACCAATACAATATAAAGAGAGTAATTACAACCTAATTACCAATGCAACTAAAACCTACCAGTACGACTTCTTAAAGTAATTAAATTGTAACCTTTAATAGTTAAGTACATAAATTAAAAATTCTGCTAACTGCTACACATAGCACTAATTTTCTACTCATTTTCAATTTTTGAATGTTTGTTTCCTTCTTGGTTTTTAATAAAAATTTATTAGTCACTTCAAAAATATGAAATATGGATGTAGAAATTTTCCTCATTTGGCTTTCTTGAGCTCACAAATCATTATGCAAATTACATTTAGAATTTTTAATGCCTTAAAAACTCATGTCTACAATTTATCCTCATGCAGTGATTTGTATGTGCTTTATTTTTACCACAATATTTTTTACAATGATGTTTTAAAACTGCAATCTTTTCGAACTGCTGTATTTTTGATGATGATGTTTCATACTATGAAGTTTTGTCCATGCTTTTTCTCCCAGTATATTTGTTCCTTACATTATTTTCTATGTGTCATTTTTGTATACGATATTTTTGATAGACACCAGCTAAATTCATGCAAGAAGTGTGTCTGCTCTTGAATGGTCTTGTTGATATATGCATTTTTATAATGGAATTGGAGAAAGTAAAAAGCAGTGGACAGCAAATCAGAAGGAGAGAGAATGGGGAAGAAATGTGCAGATGTAAGCCTGGTTAAGAATGGTTCAGTTTTGATTTCACTTTGTGTTGGTTATTTAAGATTTTAGTATTATTGGCTGAAGTGTTATGTACATACTCATATCATTAGTATTACATAAGAATCATATGGCAAGGATTAATTTTGAAATCATACTTTTTAGATTGTTTTATTATAAGCATTTTACTATTTTAGGATAGAAAGAGGAAGCAACCAAACTATGAAGAAGAATTAAAGTTTGTATTTTATTTTAGAGTTATCTGAGATACATATATAAATAAAATAAACATTATCATTATAACTAATACACAGAAATGTAAAATAGCATCTTCGAAGAATAATTTTAAAATATACTGTACTTCTGAGAATATTAAGAGTTTTAACATTTGAAACTAATGATTATCTTCAATTAAGCAGGAAAACCAATTGATTTGAGGGATTATTAGTTGTATTGTTAATAGATGACAAATTATTTAAAACAAGTAGGCCCACTTAATTAAATTTAAAATTAAATTAAAAAATTTAAATTAATTAAAAAATTAGTAATTTAATAAGATTATGATGAAAAGATACTGAATGAAAATATTTTTTCATCAGTAGATAATTTGTGAGGTAAAGTAGAAATTAGAATATGAGGAAATTTAAATTGTTTCAAACATAGAAATCTAATTTTGATTTGAAGCAGATATTTGAATTGAAATGGTTTCACACACTGAAATCTAATTTTGATTTGAAGCAGATATTTGAATGAGTTAGAATATAAAATTGCATTATAGTATTCATGTAAGTCAATGTTTTCAGGTATCAATACACTGAATTTACTGCTGATATATTTTTTTAAATTCTATATTTTAAATTTGGTACGAGTTTTTTTGTTGCATAGTATGAGTTGTTCTGTTTTAAAACTTGTCTACACAGGGTCCATTTTACATTTGTTCTTGGCTTAAAATATACCATATCTCATGAGCTAGACTTGTGATAATGGACTTTGAAAGAACCTGGCATCATCAACAGTTACTAATATTTTGAGGAAATTACATTTATATAAAAGCTGGATTTTTAGTTATATGAAGACATTTTTTAGACAGCTAAATAGTGATCAATTGGTTAGTTTTGCATGTTTTTCCAATTTTAATTATTTAACTGTCTGAGTTAACCACAGCAGTCATGTTTGATCATGTGGCCTCAGCTTTTTGTTTATCTAAATTTTTGCTATTATAATCATTTCTGCAAATAATTAAATAATGAAACAAAATATTATTTAAGTGCTATAAATTTAAGAGGATTAATTACTTTCCTGAATTTTTTAAAACTTGAAATTTAGAAGCATGAGGTTTTTAAATTATGTAAAATAATATTTTTAAAAAATGGCAGTTTGCTGAAAATTGCATAAAACAGCAATGGATTAATGAAATTTAAAACGTAGGAAACCTCCGTAATGAAACAGTAAAAAATTGCATTAAAAAAATTCAAAATGCTTAAAATTTCATAAAATAGTAAAGTAACTAAATTAAAAATGCAATAAACACCCACAATAAAACTTTATATTTTTTTGGTCCATGTTCGCAGTGACTTGTTTCAATTTTAAAAAGCATCAGAAAATTCTCTACATTGCAGAGCAAACTGCCACTGCTTTCAATGTAAATCTACTGTGACTTTTTTTTAAGTCTCTCCCCTATCCCGGGATAAAAATCAGATTTTCAGATTTTATAGTATGCCCAAAGGGACTTTTTTTAGCGTTTTGTATGTTACCCTTATTTATTATGTTCTTTGTACTTAAACCATAAAATTCAATATTCAACACCAATATCGTGAAATAATTTTAAAAGGAACATATCTTTAGAATTTCTGATACACAGTCTCGCACACTGGAGATAATTTTATCCCCCCCCCCCGTACAGTGTTACCATTGCTCGTTTTGAAATCGTTGAGTTTGTTAATCAAAAATTCGTTAAAATGTTACAAAATATGAAATTGATAATAAAATAAATCCCAAATTACAAATTAGGTCTTCCCGATGCCCATATTCGATTACGTTATTCAAAATTTGATTGCTGTAGGTCCCGTTGTCTTATCAGAGTGCAAGAAACATACATACATTTATGCAGATTCTTCATTATTTAATTTCTTTAAGTATAACATGGGGTGATAATATTTGGTGGCTACAATTTGAAAAGTGAACCAACATATAAAGTTTTTAACCCAAAATGTCAAAATGATATTAATAGCCCTCCTGGGCTAATGCCCTTTGGGCTAAAACTGAAATTGCAGAATTATTGACATCACACAGCAACTTGGCACTGCTCTGCATGTACTTCTGGCAGATAATTGCATGAGTCATTCCTTGTATTTGAAGACATGTTGAGTAAGAACGATAAAACTTAACCAATATATATATTTTTTAAATTTCCGATGGCAGATTATGAACAGTTACAGAAAAAAAAAAAAAAAAAAAAAACAAGAACATAGAATACAGCAAAACAATGAAAAAAAAAATACATCTGTAACAGAGTGCATTAATCTAACATATCTCTTGCCCCCCAATAACGCTCGGTGAGAAAAGTCTTGTGCAGAGCAGGACAGTGGGTTAGATGTATGGCATTTATCACCTCTCCAGAGCTGCACAGAGTGCATATCGGAGAAGGAACAATTTTTAATCTATGAAAATGATATGCAGTCATGTTCGGTGGCATGGCAGAATTCAGCGATCGCTCTACGCCTTGGGCCATTACACAAATTCGGGATAGCATTCTTCCAAGACTAATAAGAAACACGATGATAGAGATCTTCCTGAGCACGTACTTTGAAAGAACTTTTAATAAGATCCCTAACAGTATGGAAAGGCAAAGGACGAAAAATATTCTGCATGATTGAAGCACCCTTTATTGCCAAGAAGTCGGCTTTCTAGTTACCTGGAATCCCACAGTGGGCAGGAACCCACTGGAGGACTATAGTTTTCTCAAGTGAATCCAGGTTTTGTAGATAATGTCAACAATCCAATATGTCATTCGATATGGGATTTTATCTGAAACAATTGCCAACAGAGCAGCTCGAGAATCACTGAGTATAACTGCTCTTGAGAATTTTTCCAAGTGGCATGGTAGCTGATACGGAGCTGTGCGAATCGCAGCAATTTCACCGTCAAACGCAGAACCTTGGCCCACAGGGATGTAGAAAGAGAATATTTCAGTGAAAACTCCGGCACCTGCAATAGGGCCATCAGACAGGAGTTATCCATAAGTGAAGATCCGAAGCCACTCTGGCTCAGGGTAAAAAATATTTAATACTTCGAAAACGAGGGCTCTCAAAATAGACATATCCGTAATACGTTTCGTTACTTTTTGACCCAGGTCAAGATTAATTCAGAAAGATTTCAAATTTATTTTATTTTGTAGTGGAACAAGTAATTCTGGTTCATTCATTAAACCAAGTGAATTTTTTAACTGAAAAACTCTCTGTAAAAAGCCCGTCTGGGTCTTTAGATTTCTAGTCAGATCTTGACTTCATTCCAGAGTGAAAGACATCCAGGAACTCTAATGATCTTTTCCCAGAGAATTAAGGACCTCTCTTGAATTACGGTTCTTAAGGGTTTATCACCAGTTAACATAAACATGGCGTCAATTGGGGTGGTCTTCACGTCTCCAGAAACAATATGTAAGCACTGATTTTGGATTTTTTCTAGAGTACATTTTCTACGGCACAACAAGTGGCTCACAGCAATAAGTCAGAAGGGGGAGGATAAACGAATCGTAAGTTTTGAGCAGGGTTTGTCCAGTGCAACCCCACCTTGCCCCAGCAAGGCATTTAAGGACACTGAGTCTCTTTGTAGCATGGTTGTACAAGTCCTCAACATGTGGCTTCCATGTTAATTTGCGGTCAAACGTCATACCCAAATATTTAAATTTATCGCACTAGGGGATTTGGGTACCCTTATATGTCAGCTGAAGATCCAAAGATTGGTGCATGAGTGAGAAAGTCAGGCAGTATGATTTAAGTTCACCTCCATATTATTAGTATCACACCAAACTTCCAAAGCCTATATTTTCTTTGGACCAGCAATAAATGAAGCGAATAGCTGTCGTAAATGATGTTTGGCTATTCTCAAACCAGTTTCCTACTCGCATTCAAACTCTTTGCCGCCAATTGTAAACAATACATTTTCATATAATTTTGTTTGCTTCATGGGATTTCCAAAAGGGTGCACATTACAAGCTGGAACAATGCATGCACAATTATTAGTGGATTGTCAGATAAATTGTATGTTCATTAAATTCTGCATTGTCTACTTTGATGACATAATGCTTTTCCCGGTGATTCCTCTCATCACTATGTGAATAATGCAAAAGTACTCATTTGTTTCTACTGTTGCATTCCTTTCACTTGCTGTTTCTAAGAGCTATATATTTTTGAAATATTAGGTTTAAGGCAGTAGCTTATATGGGTGAAGAGGAGCTATCAACTGCATGGGACAAAACTAAGAAGGATGCCCGTCGACAAGCAGCAGAGTTGGCTGTTAGAGGTTTGGTTGCTAATGGTGGCTTTGGTAAATTCAGCTCACTTGCCACTAGTGTATGTAAAAAAATTTTTTTGTTGCCAATAATCTTACTTAGTAACGTTAAAAAATATTGTTATGTAAGTAGTCAAGAATATGTGTTAGACATGTGAAACAAAAATATCTTGTAAAATCTCTTTTGCCTTTATTAAATAAGTATTTCAAAATTACTATTCTTAAAGAGTTACTATAGCTTTATTACAAAATGTGATGCATTACCAAAGTTATTGTCCAATCTAATACGTCTAATTAATGTTTATGACAGATATCTGCTCATTCATTTGTATATAATGCCATGTATATTTATGTACATACTACTTTTTTATATTTTACATATATATATGTAAAATATAAAAAAATATGATGGCTTTGCTCTACGTGAACAGGCAAACTCTAACTTTCCACAATTTTAGGAACTTAACCCTAGACTAGTACTTTCGAGAACATTGTGGCATGTTATGTAATCGCTGCTATAAATATCGAGTTCATGCCATTTTTGGTAACATTGCTTTTTCCCTCCTGCCGCTTGAGACATTTTTGCTGCTGCTCTGTCCCTTCTTCTCTTTGTTAGAATAGTTATGATGTCAAAAACTTTACTTTAACCTTATTTTAATTTAAATCATTATTGGATATGTAGTTTTGAAGAATTTAAAAGAATAATGATCTGCTATTTTAAGTGAATAAGGATACAGAGTTTTAAAAAATTGAAATTCTCCTGTGTCTTCAATTCGGCTGTTTTCCACTCCGCAATAATCACACCCGGACCCTGATGTGACCAGATTGCTAAGCTATGCCTATCTACTGCAAATATCACACACACATATATATAATGAGTAGTGATTTATTTACTAAAATATATATATGTGTAAGATATAAAAATATGATCAAAAATTAATAACAAATTAAATTTAATTGCAACAAATTGACAGTAGATCTGTAAATTTCTTATTTTCAGTTAAAGCACAACTCCCTTCAAAACATCTGCACTTTCTCTGTAGTTATTGCATTGGTGTAGACTTTTGCCCTATTACTGTTCAGGATTTAAAAAAAAAAAAAAAGGATTTGCTGAGCATATAAATACTACTGCAATTACCACGTATCGCTTTTTCACCTGCTGCTGCCTAGGAAAGTCTCATCTGTTTGCTAAGCTTCTTTTCCTACTCTCTAAAATGTAAGCTGCATATATAGAAATTGTAAGGTATGTTTAGCACCCCTAATGTTGTGCCAATTAAACAACTGTTAAGTCAATTATGGTTTTTCCTCCTCTCGTATCTCTGCAGCAGTTTTCTCGGCCATGACTAAAAAGTGATTAATTTCATCTTATCTAGCCAACTCTTTTATAAGTTCTGTCAACGCATCGATGAAATTATTATATCTCTTATAGTTGCAAGGATTTTTAAACTTATATACTTCAATGGAAAAGTATCTCAAGCTTAAAAGTAAATAAGTTAAAGGAATCCTGAAAGATATATATCATTCAAAATATGGTTTTGAAATCAACACACTTTGGCCTTATCAAAAGATTTGAAAAAGAAAGAATGATTTGTAGATCTATTAGAATGCAGCAGTCTTCATGCATATTTACTGTGAGTGATTGTGTTGAGTAACTTGTGGGTTATGGTTGGTGCATGGAAATTATCACATGTGTGTTACAACATTGAAGTGTATCTGTTAAAAGCAATCTCATCTATTTCATTTTTCTGTATAGTGATTTCAATGACTATGAAATTAAAATTCCTTCAGTGATGTGTGATAATTGCAGTAGTATGTATAAGCTCAGAAAGTCTTTGTTTTAATCCTGAGCAGCGGCCTTGAGGGGGGGGGGTTGTGCTTTAATTGAAAATTAGAAATTTAAAGCTCTATTGTCAGTTTTTTCCAATTAATTTGTTAATAAATTTCCAGCATATTTTTTTTTTTTTTGAATCTTTCATGTATGTAATATAAAATTTTTTATTCTCTTAAGTTCTTTTAGTTAAGTGACTTTTCTTCTTTCATTTCCAAAGTAGTGTATGCTTATAATTATATTTCTAACATGCTTTATTCCATCGTTAATTAGTTACTTGATGATACATATAATTATGCAGACTTGCCAACTCTCCCGATTTTCGACCGCTCTCTCACCAACCCGATTTACAATATATTTCTCCCGACTTTTTCTTATTCTTAAAATTACTCACGATTTTTATGGAACTTGGCTTAATACTTTGTTATATGAGAGAACCAAAAAAAAAAAAAAAAGTGATTTTGGACGTCTAAAAGCAAATGAATTTTCGTCTAGATTATATCTAAAACAATTATTAACCTTGCGAATCAGATAGATAATTTTTCTGCTTTGTGAGTGAGAGCATATACGTATCCAGAAACGTCCTTCTCCAGTTCTCCAATGGGCATCGTGCTCCACTGCATGTCATCTGGCATATATTAGCCAATGAGGACAAAGCAAGCTCAAGCTGTTATTTGGATGTTCTTTAGTTATAATTCGGTCATTTTGTCCTGAGTTGTGTGAGTACACGTGCCTTCGGGAAATAGTTTTAGAAATCATCATCTTTTATTATGTCTGCGAGAAAGGTGAAATACTCGTGTACGTTTCAAAAATCGTACACAGTTGACTTTCCTTCCATTATTTCCTCAAGAAAATGTAATAAATTTGCGACGTGTACCGCCTGTCGTTGCGATTTTTCGATTTCGCATGGTGGAAGGGCGGATGTTCTCAAACATGTGCTTACACAAAAACACAAGGGCAACATGAGTTGTTTTGAAAAAAAAGAAAAAAAAATTAAATTACTGGAGCACAACTACTTACTTTTTACTGGAGCACAACCTGCCACTGAATGCATCGGATCACGCTGCAGCTTTATTTAGAAAAATGTTTACCGATAGTGAAATCGCTAAGAAATACTTAAGTGCAAGAACCAAAAGAGGTGCAGTTGTTAAAGAAATGGATTTGAAAAATAAATCTTCAGTTTATTGATTGCATTAAAACAGCTCCGTTCTGCCTCTCAACGGATGGAAGCAATAATACCGATTCAAAACTGTATCCAATTGTTGTTTCTTTTTTTAATCCGGAGTCTTCAGAAATTGAGTGCAGTTTACTTTCTGTCCCCACTTTAGAAGGACATTTGACAGGCTTTAATATAGCACAGCTAATTATTAAAACTTTAAAAGAAAATGCAGTCCCTCTGGATAATTGCTTAGCACTTGGTGCCGATAATGCACCAGTATTGGTAGGCTTGAAGACTGGTGTTGCAGGCATCTTCAGAAAAGAAAATTCAGATTTGCAGATTATGAGCTGCACCTGTCACCTCTTAAATTTAGCAGCTGAAAAAGGAGTAGCTTCTTTACCAATAAATGTGGATGAACACATTGTTGATATTTATTATTATCTTGAAAGGAGTTCTAAAAAGGAGGAAAAATTGAAACAGGTCAACAGCTGCATAACAGCAGTTTACAATTAGAAAACTTGGATGAAGTTATAAAATCAGCTAGGATTGACACCCAGTGGAGTTTAATTGGAAAACTGAAAGATGCTGATGGAATTTTAAAATATAGTGAACTGTCTAGAATTATGTTGGCCATCTTGACAGTTCCCCATAGTAATGCAGAGTGTGAGAGGTTTTCAGTGTTGTTGCGAAAACGAGGACTAAATTTAGATCTAATATTAGTGATGACCATTAGAAAACTTTTATTAGTGAAAGCAGGCCTACGTGGCAATTGCTATGAACAAAATTATTAAGTTTCTTTCTTAAAGAAAGCAAAATCTGCCAATGTTTATACCATTTGTACGAAAACTGATTAAAGGTTTTTTTTTTGTTTTTTTTTGTTTACTTAAACGCAAGTAATAAAAATGTTTTTTATGTGTAAGGTATTTTTGTGTTGCTTGCATTTAAGAATTAGTTACTATTTAAAGTTAATTCATTATTAAAAACTATATTTTCCTCATTTAAAAAGTCTTTATAACATTGTGAAAAATCTCCCGATTTCTTAAAAACATCTCCTGATTTTTGAATGTCATAGGTTGGCAAGTATGATTATGTAAAAGAAAAAAGTAAAAATGTATTCTAATAGCTATAACTGAGCAATTTTTGCATTTTACTATGTGTTATTTTAAAATATTTCATGTATATTTGCTATATGTTTTTATGTATTTAATTGAAGTGAGGAATATGCTTTATTTGTGTATGTATATAATGCTTCTGTGAATTAATGCTTATTGTGTAGTGTAAACTATAGCTGTTATTGTGTAGTGTAAACTATAGCTGTTCAAAACTGCAACAACATGGAGGAAGCATCCAATTGATGTGAAATTTGTATAATAGATAAAATGTGAACATTATTGGAAATGCAGCATGTAATGTAAATTAAAAGCATCTGCAATATCTCTTGAAATCGATGTAAAAGGGGGAAAAAGATTTTTTTTTCTTATAAGACACGTATCCTCATTCATTTGGCACTGCTGTGATGAGGACATGGAACAATGTAGATTTAGAATAACCTTCATACAAGGGTCACTCTGAAATTTTTGAGATGCATATAGTGTTTAAAGTATATAGTTATGAAATTTGAAGAGTGTTCTAAGTAGTCACCTCCATCATTAGTGCTCTTCTGTAGGTGGATTTTCCAAGGATTAAATGCCTCAAGCCATTCATTTTTTGAAATCGATGCAAAAAAATGCATTTATTGCCTTATCAATTTCATCTAGGAATGAAAACGACATCCGTGTAAGTTAATTTTTATACTAAAATATAGCCCAAAGTAGCACATTGCTAGTGGGTAAATAGGATGGATGCTCTTTCACTTTGATGTGTTTTTTTTAAAGAAACTCAACTGTCAAGCTTGCTGAATGAACAGACACATTGTCATGGGGAAGCATGAACCCTCTAACATTTATTTATTCAAGAATTTCTGGAAGACACTTAGTGGTGTACCAGTTAACTGTGACCATCTTCCAGTTTGATGGCTTTGATTAGTCCTGTACTTCTGAAGAAAATGGCATACATTACTTTTTTCATGCCGTTTTGTTTTTTCACCATTGTGGGACTAACATTTCCCCCACTTTTTAAAATAAAAGAGCGTAATGCAATGAAAATGAACTTTTAAGATCTCCCTTCTTAGCACTTGCAGCATGAGCAGAGAAGATTATTTAAACATCTGTTTCCATCAAGGTCACTCCGTATGAGCAATAACAAAATACTTAAAAGAAAACACTTCATTTTGATTCTTACTCAGTTTTTGAGATGATCTAATATAAATGGAGTGAAAGAAATTTAAATCAAATGGGGGGGGGAGAAAGAAAAAAAATCATTTTAAAGTTTTGTGGGGAAAATAAAATGAAGATAAAATATTATGAGGCAATTTGAGATGTAAAAAGAAGATTCCAGTATTTATGCATCAAATTTTGTGAGCATAATTCAAATAATGAAAATCATATAAAATAGAACTTTGTAATGCAATTTAAGATCTAATTTATATTGCTGGAATGTTTATATCATTGGCAATTATGTATTTGATGGGTTATAATTTGAATTCTTCACTACTACTTAATAGGGCATTTGGTGCACGAGGTCGTGTCTTGATTAATACATTAACATTTCAAAATTATTTCTGTTTTGAGAATAAAGAGTTCATAAAATATTACATAAAAACATTTCCTTTTCCAAGCTATGATTCCTTTTATTATGTAGTACTAAATTTGACAATTTATCACCATTTTTTTTTTAATTTGAAAATTAATCTGTATACAGGATTTTTAATCTGGATATTTGTGAAAATTTTGAAGTTTTTTACAACTTTATTAAAATTGGAATTAAGAAATAATATTAAAATAAAACATTTTTATTTTCACATGTCATATTGTAAAATGAACATTACTTTCCATTTTGGCGACTTGGGAATTTCTTGATTCTGAAATAATAATAATAATAATAATAATAATAAAAACACTGCCTTTACTTATTTTAAAATTTATTTCATTTTTCTTTTATATTTTTTAGTTTTTTCCCATGTAGTTGTTTCTGAACATTTAAATGTGTATCAGTTTCTCTTGAACCCTTTTCTTTTTTAATCTTTTATTCAGAAACCTTTTGGCTCTTACATAGTTGGCAGGGATAAAATTTGAAGGCAAGATTTAAAAACCTATGATTCCAGAGGATTCCAAAAAAAAATGTAACCAAATTAAAGATGTTTTTGTGTAATTAATATGTAATGAATGTGTGTTTTAGGAAATGTGATGAATTTTGTACTTCATGGAAAATTTTTGGAAGAGCACTGAAAACAGAGTTATTTGAATTTTCTGCTTTTGATCTTAGGAGTTTTCCTATTAACATTTATCTTGCCTTTGTTTTCTTATCTTTTCACAAGACACAAACATGGGAAATTGTAAAAAATAGTTTTAATCTTGTCTTCCTCGTGACAAGATTTTAGGGAATATGTAGAAAGAATTTTTCTGGCCTGGCTCCTGACCTTGTATCATTTCATATTTATTCTCAATATTTATATTATTCATAAATAAAATAAACATCTTCTATACATTCTAAATACTTACAGTTCTTTAGGAAACAGAAATTTTCTATTAAATCTGAAATTCTAAAATGTAGAGTGATCTTATTGAGAAAGAAATTGATTACATAAAGAGAAAAATTATTCTTCAAAGGTATATTGTTAAAACATTAGCAAATTAGGGGATACAGCAGAGACTAATGGGAACATTGATTTGTTTGTTGAAACAAAAGAGATGTAAAAGAGAAGAAAACTGATGTAAATTATCTAAAATATCTTGAAAATTTTTTAAATTAAAAATAGTGCATAAATTGCTGTGTCTTATTGCTATGAAACACATGTTTTGTGCTTTTTTAGTGCAATTATCCTAATATCATTTTAGAACCAGTATCATAAATTACATGTGTAAATTATCTGTATTTTAAACTGTAAAATATTCTGTTTATTTTATAACAGATATTTTTCAGAAATTTAAAAAAAAAAAAAAAATGTAAATATGAATGACTTATGGTATCTAATAACGTATATTTGTAACTAATTGCTCACCCTTAGAAGTTATCTCTGCTTGTGAAGTTAAGTTATCGTCTTTCTTTAATCCTTACTGTGGATGTCAGATGCAATGCAAAATGTAAAAATTAACATAAAACTTTATTCCTTGCAGCTAATGATACTTAAAAAATGTAAAACAACTTTGTATTTCTGGTGCTTAAGCCACTAATTGAAACTTGATGTTAAATAATATATATTAACTGGATTATAAGTCCCGTGACTGCACGAAGCTGCAATGCTAACTGGGTCAGACAGATAAAACACAATTGACTTTCAACACATACCAATCTTACCAGTATCAGGCATTCACATCTGTTCTGTTCAGCGTCTCTCTTTTATCAAGCAGCACCAACGACAACAGCCAAGCATTTATTACAAATCATAGTGGTTATGATTTTACTTCTCACTTTAACGTATGCCGTTTGACATAAAATTTGCATAAAATCTTTGCACTAAGCGAGTACATGTTGAAAAAATGCATAAAAAAAGAATCGACATAAAACAGTAGTTAATAAAAATTAAATGTTAGCAATCTTCTTTGAAATATATAGGATTATTATAAGTATAAAATATAAATAATGTAAGTAAATTTTGTAATTTAATGCTAATTACCTGATAAATTTTACAAAGTTGATTTTATTCTCGAATTTGTTTTATAGTTAAGTATTATATTATGTTTAATAATAATTTATCCTACTTACAGATTTTATTTTATTCTTAGAATGGTATTATAAAAATGAAGTTTGGGTATATATATAATTGCTTTCATTTATTCAATTCCTTTGCTAGAAGCTCCTTAATTTTTATTAATTAAAATATTTAATTTCTTAAAAGTATTTAATTTCAATACGCAGAAATGTGTATGAACCCTGTATAATTCACTTTGAATTCTTTCATGAACCATAAGAACTCTTTCATGAAGATAAACAGAAATAATTGAAAGTTATATTAATTTCACCTATAAAATTCATGAGACATTTAAAATGTTTTTTTGACCTACCGCCAATAGTTAACAACATATCTGCAGCAGCTGTGGGAACAGGTGAGAGCAAACGCTTTTATATTTTTCCATTAATGGTGTTTCAGTGATGAAACATAAATGTTGTTAGAAATAGCAATGACAGCTTAATGATACATTTAAGATAAATCATTGTTAAAAAAAATGACTGAGTCTTGTGAAGTGAATAATTAACTAGCCTCTCTTCTTTTGGTACAATCGTTGACTGCGATACTAAACTCTTTTTTGAAATCAGCAGTGAGTCAAAATCTCACAAAGAAACATATCTGGATTAAAAAAAAAAAAAAAGCAGTCAGCTATAATGTTTGGCATGTAGTTAAAGGGTGTTTGTTGTAAAACTAGTATTTGTGTGCTCATTTTGTTTCTGCTTCATTGAAGGTTTCCATTCTCAGTTTTGTTTAAAAAAATGTCTTATGTGAAGTTCTAAAACAGACATTAGATTGAAAAATATGATGTGCTTTTCATTTACATATCTATTTCATGAAAAGTATTTGCAAGCAAGCAAGTTTAATCTCCGCTCCCAAAAAATATCAGCATGTTAAATTTTTTCAGTTTTTCACTTATTTATCTATAAGATTATTTCTGTAGAAAATGTCTCATGTATATAAACCTTTTTTTATAGGTAGTACTTGTAAATTACATGTAATATTTGTTCTACAGCCAGAAACAGTGAATGAATTACCTCCTGTGGTAAGCCAGTTTGACATGATTGCTGCTTTGAGTCACAAGACATTTAATGAGCGGGTGCTTCAAGTTCCAGAGTATATGGGTGGACGTAAAGTCCTTGCTGCTCTAGTCATGAAAAAGGGTGGATCTGACAGTCGGGGCACTGTCATATGCTTAGGAACAGGTATCCATTGTTGAATCATTTTAAGCCAATTCTGATTTGAATTGAACATATCATGATATACACATGTTTTTATTAAATAAATCAAGTTTGATATTTATTACATTAAATTATTATATCAGACTGGAATATATTGCTTGAATTTCTTAATCTTTTTTTCATATTTTATTTAATGTTACATATTTCTAGTTTAATTCTTTTATGTGTGTGTGAGCATATGTAGTAAGTGTAATTCTTAATCTACTGTGACATGTACAATTTTAAATATTAACCTCAGCTTGATATATAAAGATAATAATGCAGAATCGTTTTTCCTTTTCATATATCAAAGGATTTTTTGGGGAGAGTGTATTGCATGTGGAACTAATTAGATAATACAGTCGTCAATAAAATTAAAACAAAGTAGATGTTATTATTTCCCATTTATTAGTATCCATATTTGAAGCAAAAAAATACCATCTTTTCATAAAGTGTTTTGTGTTAGAAGTAATTTTCAAACTATTGGAATCAATGAAACAGACGTTGGTTTCTAATTGTTTAATATGATCTGAATAAATTATTAAACTAAACAGGTTTCCGAAAGCTAATTTTCTCATCTTTATTTGTTGAATGTGAATCTGGTGTTGATAAGTTGGTGAAGTAATCTCTCATTTTCCCAAGGATTTCATTTTCTTCCTCCTTTTCTGAATTTTCTTTCAATGAAATTTTTGTTGTTTAAATTTTAATCTTGTTAGTTTACTGATAAAAGATTGATTAGCTATGATGGCATAGCTATCAGCTGAAAATTGAATATTTTCGATTTAATGGTTTAGGACAGTGTTTCCCAATGTGGGGCAATTAGATTGTTAAGAAGGGCAATTCAAAAATGGACTCGTCCAGAGTTTAAGGGAATGCTCACATTTCCAAATTTTCTTCCAAATTTTCAAAGATGTTGAAATTTTTTGAAATTTCATTTTTTATTCCCAAAAATAGAGAATAATGTAAGTGATGTAAACATAAAGTTTTTAAATTGTGGTGCATTTTGAATATTTTATGATAAATTTTCACTTCACAGGGGCATTTTAATGCTTAAAAATTTCTTCCTAAAACCTATCATTCAAGTTTCTTTCATGAACATTTCAATTTTTGAATATTAAAAATTATGTATTTGCTAGGGGAGGATAAGAATTTTAGAAAGGATTAGGTGGGGCATAGCACAAAAAAGGTTAAGAAACACTGGAGTAGGATGTCATAAGTTAACCTATTGCAATGCAGCTTTGTAATTTGCTAGCTTTATTTTTAGATGGGTTAGAATCAAATAAATGATAATAATCAAAGAGTGAATGATTTTGGTTTTATCTACATCACTGGTTTCTGTAATTTGTAATAAATAAAAATTATAATAATATAATTAAATATAAATGAAATTCAAATTAAAAGTTTAAGATTATTTATTAGTCATTTATTAATGTAAGAAATTTTTCATAATGTTTTGGTATTGATTTTTTTGTTTTCTTTTTGTTTGGGCTTGATTTTTATATCGTATGTTGGAAAGCACAAATTAGTTATGTTCATAAGAAGTTAAGTTAGAGCTGCAGCGATCTAAATCCATTTCTGTGTATATTTAAGGGCATTATCTGCTTGATAATTCTTGTTGCAGTAAAATAATAAGTGAAGAGAATAGCTTAATTTCAAAGAGAAGGGGTGATGCTACACTGAGGATTTTCAGATAAAATCAGTGCTAACAGAGCTTGAATTTTGCTGCTTTTTACCAAAAAGACATCTTTTAAAATAATACATCTACTTCGACAATGCATGCAAGCAGTCAAAAAGAAGTCCAGAGTAAATAATTGAAGTAGATTAAAAGCACAATATTTGTAAAGTAATAAAATATTTCAGTTTCTCATTCCTGTTAGCTATATCTTGTTCGTACAATTTCTATGTTTAGTTATTTTTTTAACAGTAATAATGTCTAAGCACAGAACCATGTCTAGATAATTTTTCAATTGAGGCAAAAAAGGTAAATTCACTCTTTCATATTCATCAAAAGTAGCTATATTAAATCATGGTACCCCTATAACATTTGCTATCATAGCATTTTATATTCTGAAAAATGTTGCTAATAATAATTAAGGTTTTGGATAAAAAGTTTAAAAAAAATATGTTTTAAAAAATAAAATAACAGTGAATTACCATAAATGGTAATGTAATGAAATATAAAAACATTGCACTAAAATGTTCAAGCATTGTTTTTTAATATAATTTTTCTTACTCTTAATGAAATAAAATTATCAAGTTTTAAATTTATTTGTTTCAAGATCTGTTATTTTCTGCCCATTACTGTGATTTACTGTCTTGTATAAATTCGGTGCACTAATATAAATGTGTCATAATAACAAACAAACTGAAAAAAATATATTAAGTGTATACGATGAATTTTTGCCACAGTTTAAATATTAAATCATTTTGAGTTTTAGAATTAAATAAGTTTTTTTATTTAATTTGTCTAATTGATTAGGGTAAAATAATTGAGGGCAATCTGTTTAAAGGGAGGACTTTCTTCTTAGGGAAATTCTCTTTTATTTATGTTATGCATGAACAAAAACAAGAATCACTTTATAGCCCACTGTTTGACAGGATTTGTGCCAAGTTATCAGAATAACCAGTGTTTAGTGGTTTATCCATTTGAACACCAGGGGACAAATAAGTATGTAATTACAATTACCATTATTTTTAATATAGTTTCTACTCTAATACAAGTGCTGATATTTTTTTGTTTCATTTTTTATTGTAGTTATTTAATAAAATGTTCTTGTAGTACTGTCATTATTGGTGTTAATTTATTTAGGGGTATCATTAAAGAATTTCACAGTCTTAATGCCATTCGCTTTAGAATAAACTGAAATGCTTTGTTATAATTCTTCTGCAAGAAAATTCAAAGTTTTGAAATTTCATGTTTATTTCTTTGATAATAAACAATGCATTTAATTATTTTGTTATAAATAAATAATCGCCACTAAGAAAAGTCTCGCCTTACCTTATTTCTTAATGTTCCATCTTGGAGAGAAAAATTAAAGTGCGGATTCTTTTAATCTCTTTAGCAACAGCTGTAGCTTTTCTTGGTATAACTGTAACTGTTGTTTCCATTATGTTTTGTAGAATGATGTGTTCCCCTTGCAATTTTCTTTCTTTTTTCTTTTTTTAATGGACACAGAAATATGGACAGTGAAATATATCTGTCAACCATTCATTACATACTAATATATTTGCACTGTCATAACAGTGATATCTCCTAATATTTGTAGGAATAAAACATTTTGGGTACTTTTCCATTTCACCGGCACAAATCTCACTAAGCAGACTTTATTGGCGACAATACATAGCATACACATAAAAAATGTTAAAAAAATTTTGGCATTGTTTGAAGTGGTCCTTATAAGTGCTTATAAATCCTTTTATTTGAAAATAAAATATAAAAGCCCATGTAAGTGCTTACTTTTTCTCTAAAGCACTTATTTTTTGTTTTCAGTGCTTATTTTTTGTTTTTAGTGCTTTTTTTTAAAACGAATGCACATTTTTTCCCTGTACCAAAGTCAAAACTAAATAAGCAAATTTTCTTCCTTATATGGAATGTCAGATATGAAGAAATAGCTTTTCATCCCTTTCTCTGCATTAACATAACCTTTGGTGCGCACAAGACAGGTGCACGTCGTTCTATTAGTCAAAGAATTGTGGTACATTCCGTACTTTTTTGCTCCCACCCAATACTACACATGTTTGAGTTTCTATCAAGATTTTAATAATTTATATTCTCGTTCCGCATGATCAGTTCATATTCACATTTATTGTGATCAGTATGCTTATATATCATGAGCATATGTATGAATATTTATAATAATATATTTGCAGTAACTGAAGTAAAAATAAACTTCAAAAATGGGTAAGTGTGTTTTAACATAGATTAGTTTTCTAAGGAATAATATTCAGAATATCATAAATAATAAAGTAATCGAATAGTAAAAAAAAAAGTTTTTTTTTTTTTTTTTTTTTGCCAATGCATTATACAATACGGAAGTTGGGGGTTCTCCCCTTTCTCCGCAAAATCTTGAATATTGAAAACGTTAACAGTTGCAGGAAAGCAAGCAGCAGACTTTTTTTTATCACTTTCCAATCTGGATTGAATAGGACTAAAAGTTCTGCGGTCTACCAACCCAAGCGAAGAATGATTCTATTCCGGAAATTTAACGCAGTCTGTTCAGAATTAGAATGAAGAACACCTCAGATTGGTAAATCTCTTTATTAATCAGTATGAGTATGGCAGAGCGTGACGTGTCCTGCTCAGTAATAAATATGCCACATGGGCGCATGACTGTGAAAACTGGACAAAGCAAAGGGGCGTTTTCCTGTATTAAGCTATTTATTATCTGAATACCTGCAGCTGTTGATTCCGATTGTCTAATACCATGTGCAGAAGAATTAAGGTGCGCGTATTGCGCAATAATGTTTGTGATATTTCGCAGAGATAAGAGTTTTACTGTGCTTGCTAAGCAGATTATTTTTTAAGTTCCATCGGGCTATTTTTATATGATGCACATATTGAAATGTCAAAAGCATTATTTAGCTGAAAAATCTAAAGAACAGCTACAATGTACCCACCTTTCACTTTTACAAGTTAAGCTCGACTGTCTAGAATTTTCAGATATTCGGCAATTTCCGCCTATGCCTGTTAGTTAAGCTGTTACTGTTAAAGGATGACTGCATGAAGCAATTTCCCACTTCTGATTTCAGAAAAGTTCCTTTTTTTACTTATTTTTACTTGAATTACTTTGCTTGCAATATCTGTTAAGGGAAAACTGTTATGCAGTGAGAATTTAGAAAATGTTCAGAATTTTGATTTAAGTTAAATTATTTAAATATGAGTGGAAAAATAAATTGTATTTATTTTTAGGTCCCAAGCAAATATAATAAATATGACTTATTATTATTTATTTTCTCTATTTTGAGCTGAAATTTCATCATTAAAT